GAGGTTTGGTCTCTTCCAAATAAGCTCCCCACGTTTTCTGGGCTGCAGACAAAAGGCGAAGCTCCGCCATTCGGCTTCAGGAATTCAGCTTCTTAGGAGCGTCGAGTCAGGGAGAAAAAGAGAGGGTTAGGGAAAGGACATTCCATGAATACAGTAGGAAGTAGGGAAGGCGAACAATAAAGGTATTTTAAGAAATGTATATATTAGGCGGGGGAATGGGGGATTATTTTGGTTTGATTTGGAGGCAACCCACGTTGAAGTTAACAAATCTCACGCTCATACAGAAGGTTCCAAACCACCCCCCCCCGGTTTAAAATCGCTGTTTCATACACACACACACAAATACATACAGAGACATACTGTATATACATATACATACACACACACATAGACATATATACGTGTGTGTGTGTCTATACACACACACACACACACACACACATATAATATAACATATATATCTTCTATAATCTATATAATGTTATCCACCTGGGTATATTCCTTTTTCACCTGATTCAGGATGAGATTTATCACATGAAGGTCTGCAAAAGGTATTCACACAGGTTTATTGTAAAAAGAGAGAGACAAGAATACATATAACAGAGCGTTACTGAACATGCAACTTCCTTATTTTCACTATTTTTTTTTTAAGTTCAAAGTATGGCAAGGGCAGGTTTGGCCGGTCAACCTCCACGTTTCATAAAATTATTCTGTCCAAATGAGGTTTTGTCCTAATTTCTACAGCGTTGAAATTCAGATCTACAAATAGGAAATTCCAACTTTTTTGGGTAATTTTTAAAATGGCTTATTTAATTCCCCCCAAATGATAAGATACACGAAAAGAGACATAGGCATACAGTAACCTCCGTCTGTGGGGACGCCTGTTTTAGGCGGAGTAAAAGGAAAGGGAAAAAAGGAGGGGGGGAGAAACACTGTCGAGTGCACTAAAGCTTGCAACTGGAAGGTGGCGCTCGTGACCTTATCATGAAAGCAAGTATGGCTTCCTTACTTACTTAACCATACTTAGCCACCACACCCCCACCCACACTGGCAGGGCAAGCTACTGTATACAAACAGGGAGCAAACCCCACACTCACGATCACTGATTATATTACCTAGCTGGGTAATGAAACGTCTGCAGACAAACAGCCTAGCTCAGGAAGCACCAAGGACTCCACAGTTCAATCCTGAGCTATATATACTGTATTCTCTTCTACTGGAAAACCTCTTAAACTCATTTGGCTTTTAAGAATCTCTGCTTCCAGGGCAGGAGACCGGAGTCAAAGTTAAAATGACCTATGTGCTGTGAGTAAACCAAGTCCTGACTTCTAGGGTCAAAGGTAAATCGTGATTTTAAATGGATGGAAAACTGTTCTCCCCCCTGCCTCGCTACTGGACATAGTAACTGTTGGTTGGGAAAGCATGTCTGAAGCAAGTCCTCATCCTCCAACCTTTCTCCTCCCATTCCAGGATGCACATCTTCTTTTACCTGGGGTAAAAGAGAAAGGGCAAGTGTGCTCACAGATGGAGGGCCTTTCCAGCAGATGCAGAACTAGGGAAGATAGCCAGTAGTTCCCATCCCCAAAATATATCAGGTCCCTCTTTTGTCCTGCATCCCCTTTTTTAGATGTTACAGTGAGGGGTCAAGCAATGGAAGCATTGTATCTTAGCTGATCACCAGCAGTCCTGGGGAGAAAAGTCTAAGTCTTTGGATCAGAGGATCAACACGCACATCCAGTTCAATAAAGTAAAGAATGTGAATTCCCCGAGTTCTAGAGGTACATAATATTGAGGAAAAATCCTGGCTTTCCTTGTAGGTAGTTGGCCATCCCTTTGTTTTCTAATCAAACTACTGCATGTATAATTCCTCCTACAATGTGGTTAGCAAAGGAGAACAGAGGGAAGCCACAGCGGATTTTTCCTCACCCCCCCCCCCCCCAATCTACTAAGTACTGATCTCTAAGTAGGCACTGAAGTGCGCACAGCACATGCTGCCGGCTGTAAAATCAGAATCAGCTGACAGGCGAAGTCATTTTAAAACTTCCAAATGTCTCACTGGGGTCTTCAGGTGCATCTCTGAGGGATTGGCACAAGAGCAAGAGAGTTATCCTTGAACTTGGCCC